CCCTCAGGAGGAAACGAGACCCCACGGGTTCTGGCGATGCACGTGCGGGTCTTCAAGTGGAGCACCTGTGCCTTGGCTGAGTATGCTATATTCCTTGCTGACGATGGGCCATAAGTAGGTTTGCAAGACGAAAATGTATTCGCTCTGCTGCATGCTTGTCGTAGTGAGAACCATCGACGACTACCGCTATGCTTCGCGAGTTGTACTCAACCATTCGTGTGTTAGACCACGAGAACTTGTGATGTCTTGCATTTCAGCCAAGTGCATGAACTTCGTTGACTTGTTCAATAATCCTCCTGTAAGAGCCTTTAAGCCTGTGCAAGTACATGATTCGCCCAGCAACCTCCGGGGGCCACCTGATTCCGGAGCTCGCGGACATGCAGGCAAGGCCCACCAATCTCCTGTCAACTGTACTTCAGCTCCGACGAGTGGGAGAGCACCAGGGCGGAGACAGCGCAACGAGTCTAGCAGAGCCCAGTACAGAGCAGGGCGACCGTTGCGTCTTTCCCAGGAGTATCTCTGTAACATCGAGCCGGAGGCCGGGAGATGTTGAGACTCCCACACTTTTACACGTGGCTGTTGTCGCTTTTGTCCTGGCTATGTGCTGCAGGCACACTCATCTGCGGAAATTTGTGCCATGAAGTGACTCCTTCCGAAATCACGAACAAGAAAGCCGACATTCTGCCTTCAGCAACGCTTTGCAGGTCTATGCAGTGATCGCGTCGTGGACCCTCGTTCGGTGAAAGGCTCAGATCCTGCGATTGTGTGCAAAAATGCCGGGCTTTTGCTGGGCTGCCACTGTGCTGTCTCCACCATCTACAAAGTCTCCAACCTATTTCTACTCCTGGGTTGGTACTCGCAGCCTGTCTTCACCAATGCCCCGTGCCAGAGAGCTAGCCCGAGCTACCTGGGACGGAGCTCCTGAGCTCCAGGACGTTCAAAGGCTTCTGGCCCACGCTGTTCCCTCAGCCGCTCCGTGTGTTTGGGTTTTCCGGAGTCTTCAGAGGAAGTCCGTGTGTGTGTGTGTGTGTGTGTGTGTGGGTTTTCCGGAGTCTTCAGAGGAAGTCGAGAGCCGGTCGGCTTGACTGCCTGTTCCTGGTTCGATCTAGCTGCTTTGTTGTCGCTCGCAGCAGGGATCTTCTGCTGCCACGGTATGCGCGTATGCGGCACGAGCTCAGGCACACTTGGCTAGCCAGCAACGAAGCGGACATCTCTGTGCTGGGTGAGTCTGGGCCCTCGGCTGCGCTGGCAAGCGGGGGAATTCATGGTGTGTTAGTAGATCCTGTTTGGGATCGCCACATCAATGCTTGTTTTGTCTCAGCTGACCAGAGACTCCTTTTTGCACTGTCGACCGCCTGTCAGAGGTATGCGGGAGGCTTGCCCGGCGTTCGTGTCAACCCATATCGACCCTCGCATCATGCCACAACCTCAATTGCCTGGAAAGGTGGGTGACTTCGCGAGAGACCCTATTTAAACACCACTTGCCCAGGATGCGGCAGTAACTGCGGAGGCATGGTGTCAAGCTGAGAGAGGGGGGAGCTTGATGGGTGAGAAGAGGGCGTGCAGGGCCTTTTTCCAGGTCCTGCAGAGGCTCCCAAACACCACATGGACACAAAGATATGCGGTCCTGTTGGACAGGAATGCACCCTAGCCCTTCGGTCCGTCTTGGTCGACACCATTGCCGGGTCCCCGAAGATCTGCGAAGGGAGCGCATTGATCACATACAAGCTGAACTCCCGATGGTCCCGGGCTGAAGTTGTGAAGCCGTCCCTATTTGGGGGTTTCCGAATATTAGGGTACCTTATTTGGGGGTCCTTATAATAAGGATCCTCTCATTTAGAGTACTATATTAGGGTCCCCTATTCATTTGGGATCGAAGCCAGTGCTAGTGTACCTAAAGCCGAGCCAAGCCTCAGATTTCTGCTTGGGCGGACTTCTTCATCGGGAACGTCTGCTCCACGATGCTCGGCACTCGGGATCGAGTGCCAAGTTGGCCACGGATGCTTGTCCAATGGGAACCCGGCCCTTTGGGAGACTAATGCTATGCGCCCGACATGGCATGACAATTGAGAATTCAGCACATTTCAGCATGGGATATGGCAATCCTATCGGGCCGGAGAGCTTCCGGTTCGTTCCACTTGTCCCCGAGTTGATGGATTCGGCTTCACACAGCTGCCAACCCAACGCCGCAAGGAAGACTTAGGAAGGACCAATGTCCGCGAGGAGCGTTTGCTACAGCACACCACGTTTTAGACAAGGAGTTCTCCACGATCGGAGCCGACAAATACTCGTCATTGTTTAAATCAGAATCCCTGCGAGCATCGAACGAAGTCCTCTGAAGCCCACGCAACAAGGACCCAGTACATTCTGCAGCTGAGGCCGGGTTCGGGGAGCCATGCTCGCGTTTTTTCCTGCTTGAAGCAATACCAGCGCAGTATTCTTCAGAGCGGACAGCGTTCTCCAAAGTTCATACCATGCATTTTGCTGTGTGGGCTCGTCTTCCCTACACCGTCCCTGTCTCCCGAACTTATGCTCACGCCAAATGTCAAAATGCCGTGCAAGTTTTCTTGGGGTGCGACTCGTGTTCCCGCCTCCCGAAGTTCTGCGGCCACAGTGCCGTGCGTGGAGGGATGCTTTGGAAATGTTCTTGGGTAAGTAGGCCTTGGGCTGCTAGGTTCAGCAGGCAGTGCCCCTGCTACAGCGGAGACGATGCCTTGGGACGTGCCCCTGTTTCCTTGGTTGCTCGAACGCTGTGAGCTCCAAGCATGATACTCGCTCCACGCCTTTTGTCCTGCCAGTCTGAGCGCAGGGTCTTCCATTGACCTAGCGGTGAAGACATTGGATATACTCGTAACATCGTTTGACCGGCGCCAATTTTCTTCTTGATCCTTTTGCTTGTGGAGGCAGCGGCTAGTCTCGGCAATAGCACATGAGGAAAGTTGACAGGCAAGGTGGAGGCAAGACCTACTCCACAACGAGTGGGCCAGAGCCATTGACCCAAACGGAGCGGCTAACCATCAGATGAGCGTGCCACTGCCGTGAACCCCGAAAGGAATGACCAACAATAACGACTGAGCCAACGGCACCACACCCCGGGTGCGGCAGCAAAAAAGTGGGTGTGGCCTCACAATCTCGAATTCCCTGGTGGTTCGGCCGACGGAGCATTTTATGTCCTCTTTGGAATAGTGTTGCTCTATCGTCAGCTCCTGGTCTGTCAGGATTCCATTTGGAGAGGGGGCCATGAACTGGCCTGTAGCCGCAAGGGCCGCAAGGGTTTTGCAAGCATTTGCAAACAGCGCAGTACGGGTAGATCCATGTTGCACAATTCCATCTACTGAAATACAGGGACTGTAGCAGCGCAGGATGATTCTCAAAGCTTTTATCCCCAAGACTCATGAGACCTTGGCAGGCTGCGCTACGGCAAGTCCTTCACGAGTTCCCTGGCCCTGGGAGGGGTGCGGCCTTCAGTCGGGTTATCACAGTTTTAGGGGGCTTCAGCAGTTGGGTTGTGATGGGTCGTGAGGCTCGGGGAAGCCCAATTCCGTGACAAGGTTTCGAAACGACGTTGGTGGTGGGAGGGGGGGTCGCGGATAATTTGGTTGCATGCTATGCAATGGTGGGGTCGGCCTTTGAAGGAAGTGTTGACGGCATACGGTTAACATAGTGGAGATTGAAAAGCGTCTCTGCTTTCGGTGCTCTTGTCAATTACCTCAGAGAGTTAAGAACCGTATGAAGCGGGCTGGGGTCTTTGCTGTCTGCGAACGCTTCCAACGGATGACTTCCGTGGTCCGCGCACAACTGATGTACCAGACCGGTAACAAACGACTGCATTTGTTGCTGACTTTTGCCCTGCGATCCGGTGCCTCTACATGCACAATGTGAAAGTTCGATCTGTCCATCCGGTCACCTCGTTTGCCCTGACTTGGGTCTCCCCTACTTCAACAGAGGTGCAGCATGTCGACCTTTTGCGCTCGGCACGCCGGCAAGTGGCGGAAGCCCGGCACTCAGGGACACGAGGTACCCGACAAGGGTTTGTCCCAGCTCAAAGATTTTATGCTTCGTTAGGCTCGCCGTGGATGATCATGTTTGCGGAATTGAACATGTTTGGGAGGGCTTTCCCGGTTCCTGCGCCCTTCTGCTGCATTCAGGCGTACGGCACCTCTCAGTGAGGCTAGTCAGCTCTCAGCTGTGGTCGCTTCGAAAAAGTCAGGTTGACCTGTCGGGACGCGGGCATGCACGCCGTTCCTCTATGATCACATGAGCCATAGGATGGGACTTGTCCAGAACTTGCTCGGTCGAGGATGTAGGGTTGTTGCCTTCGGATGCAGAGCCCCAGTTCAGTTTGCAAAGAACTCTTTAAGATCAGAGACCAGCAGTATCGTGCTAGCTTTTTCGTGCTTTCTCTGGTGAATGTTTTGCGGACTGAAGTGTGTTTACAGCATATCAATTGTGTACGTATGCATGTATGCATGTGTGTGTACATATGGGCCCATATATAAATAGATCTTTAGTTATATGTATACTATTGTAGTTATGCCGGTATAATATACCATGCATCTATATACATGTACGACGTGCAGGGATGTCTCCAGCTAGGAGCGGCAACAAGTCGAAGAAAGCAGAAACTGTGAGGACTTTTTCTGGCCTGTCAGATTTGGCACCCGCAGAGCCTGGCTGTGTCCCGGGGCAAGGCATCCATTGGAGAAGATGTCAAATGCTATACACAAATGGCAGTAGCGTTTTCCGGACATGGCCACAGGGCGGCTCAAAGCAGACGCCAGCTGTTAGGGACGGTCACAGGCCAGATCAGCTCGTGATAGTTCGGTATCACGCTGCACGACTGTGGTGTCGAAGGTTTTGAGTACTGTGTCGGCATATCAGCCTCTTCTAAACTGCTGACAACAACAACGACGCACTGCCGGAACACTATCAAAGCATCTAGGGCCTAGTGCCATCTACTAGTAAGATCTAGTAAGATACTGTGGCCTTTGGGACCTGGGATGGAGGTTCGTGTGCACGACTCAGACTGTACCGTTGCGTTGACCTGGCAAAGATCTCAGCACATGATGATGGCTGCAGGTAGCGCAATCGAAGCCTTAACCTGTTGAATGTGGTCCCTTTTGAGTCTACCATCATGAGGATGCGCTTGGTGATAGCCAGTCGCAGTCATCTTGTTGCAACAGATCGTGTGATCCCAAGAAGTCATGAGAGCTTCTCGTTGCGCGCTTGTCACTTAACAGGTTCCGAAAAGCAATGGGGTTTCATTGTTTCTATCGAACCCCTGACCTGGCCCACATGTCATATAACAATCTGTATATATATATATACATACATACATATGCATATATATATATATATATCGTATAACCCCCGACGTGTAACATATCACCTTGAGAGCTCATACGGCCGTACGGGGCCGCCGTATGGCTGTGCGGTTTAGGTGTTATACTTCGGGGCCCTTTCGATGGCCGTACGGTGGCCCCGTATGGCCGTACGGGCCCATATATGGTTAATCGTTGATACGTCGGGAGGTTACATGTTATGTGCAGGTGGGTTGCAGACCCCACGATCGAGCATTGCTCTTGAGCCCTGATAACACTTGTCACAAGACCAGGCCATCGCAGAGGCGTTTCTCCCAGCCCTCTTTGGCATGAACTAAACCCTGAACTCCACCGCAAACCTTGAGACTGGCTGAAGGTTCCGCCGACGCACTGGGCTCGGGTGGCTGGAGGCCTGTCGAAAGACCTTGACCAAATACTGCTGCTTCTGCTGTTGCTGCTGCTGCTGCTTCTGCTACTGCTGCTACTATTACTATGACGACGACGACGACGACTGCTACTAGTAAACTCCTGCTGCCACTGCCACTCCTAGTGCTAGTGCTTCTGCTGCTGCTACTGCTGGTACTGCCAGTGCAATCACTGGTTCTACATGGCTTCAGCAACTCCGTGACGACACTCGCTAGCTGGATTTTAGTTATTGTTGTTTTGGTCTGTCTTTGCTTAACTATCAGAATTGCGTCATTCATCAAGTTCTACGACGGAAACTGTCATGCTCCTGGACCTGTTCAAACCTACCGTCCTGCTTGCGGCGTAGGAAGTTCCTCTGCCACTGAAAGGGTGTTAACGCGTGTTCGGGGTGGTGTTTCCAGAGAAGACGCATGGATAATGCGACTTGTTTCTTGCTGGTTGTACCATGTCAATGCAGTGACAAGTTACAAGAACAGATTCGTAGATCTTTATCAGATTGTAGTTAATAGTCGTGAATAATGCTGATCGCCATTCTGTCTAGATCGACTCAACACTGCCAGCCAAAACTCTTGGATCATCTTCTTCAACTCATGATCAGCAAAGCCAAACCCTAAACTCTGAGCGCTCAAATGTGCGCGCTTCACTGTAGATCTATGCCAACCTCACGCAAGCTTGCCGAACAGGCCCTCGCTTGCATGAAATCGCTGGGCATCTTGTTTGGGATGTTCCGCGGACTGCACAAAGAGGCCGGGCTGCTCGCGGGATGTTGCCAATAGTAGTGATGGTGGTGGCTGTGGTGGTAGTGGTTGTTTGGCAGTAGTGGTAGTAGTAGGCAGTATTGGTTGTGGTTGTGCTAGAGGTAGTTGTAGTCGTCGTCATGGTAGTGGTGGTGGTGGCAGTAGTAGTGGGAGGCAGGTAGTAGGTAGTCGGCTTCGGGAGTAGTAGGTAGTAGGTAGTAGGTAGTAAGTAGTGCGGTAGTGGTAGTGGTACTGGTAGTAGCAGTAGAAGCAGTAGTAGTAGTAG